TTTTTTTGAGACAGAGTCTTGCTCTGTTGCCCGGGCTAGAGTGCCGTGGCGTCAGCCTAGCTCACAGCAACCTCAACTCCTGGGCTTAGGTGATCCTCCTGCCTCAGCCTCCCAAGTAGCTGGGACTATAGGCCTGCGCTACCACGCCTGGCTAATTTTTTCTACTTTTGGTTGTCTGGCTAATTTCTTTGTATTTTTAGTAGAGAAGGGGTCTGGCTCTTGCTCAGGCTGGTCTTGAAATCCTGACCTCAAGCGATCCTCTCATCTCGGCCTCCCAGAGTGCTAGGATTACAGGCATGAGCCACCGGGCCCGGCCTAGGAAGCTCGTATTAAACATCTTATGTTGATTATATGAAGAACACTATTTGGATGGAAAGAAAGAGTATTTAGGAAGTCCATGTGTGGCTAGAAATAATTGGTGTTAGAAATAATGGATGGAATAATAATGGAATGAATAAGTTAGAAATAGTGGATGTTGTCTTGTCTTTAAAAATTATTTTAAAGCCTGAGTAAAGGTCTGAAAGGAACATGTTTGGGTCTAATTTTAACATTTAATTCCATTATGTCAGTCTCCTCACTCATCTTTTCTTTTGCTCTTAGATTCCATTTGGCATAAAATATGATGAGAAGTGGCTGCTAAATTTGATTCAGAGCCAATGCAGTGTCCCTTTCACTCCATTCGAGGTAAGAGATGATAGCGAGGCAGATGAGAGGGAACAGGACAGGTAGGGGGCTGGATGAGCATGGACTCTGGCCTCACATTTTATTTTTCTTGCCACTCTCCCTGTAGTTTCACTATGAGAAAATGCAGGCCCACTTCTTCGTGGATAATGCCAGCATCGCCTTTGCACTGAAGAATGTCAGTGGCAACATTTGGGACCAGGATAATGAAAGGGTGTGTGTCGAGGGCATGACCAGGGCTAGCTTGGGGCAAGAGGGAGGCACATGGGCAAGGTCTTGCTTGATCTTGGGGCTCAGAGTTCGTCATGCTTACCCAGCCCCTCTTGTGTTCTCTGCAGATATCAATATTTGTCAGTCCCTCGGATGCACCCCGCTCTGTGCACAAGGAACTGAAGTCAGAAAAGGTGCAGCAGATAAAGGTAATGCAGACTCAAGACAAGTTGTCCACCCATAGCCAGACCCACCTCTTCTTCCCCTACCTATTGCCCCCTTCACCATCTCAGCTTCAGAGCAGCTGAGCCCCATCTCTAACTCTGCAGCCGACCATGAAGAAACGTGATGACTCCCAGGAAGCTCTTGACATCCAGAGACTCTCCTCTGAGGCAGGTATGGCTGAGGATAGTAATTCTATAGCAGGTGGGAGCAGAGGGATCTTCCTGGGAAGGAGACTTAGAGATTGTAACTCAGGGAGGAGGTGGCGTTGGAGCTGTACCAGCTGGGCCCCTCTCAATCTTCTGATTCATTTCTCTCTGCTTTCTGGAGACTTCATGGGACATGATGAAATGGCAGCAAATCCTAGCAAGTACATGGCTACCTCCCTGGGTGTTCATGAAGAGAACGTGACTAAGGTGAGGCCTTAAGCCAGGTGCTAGGATTGAGGGTGAGGGTGGGAGAGATTAGTTAGAGGGCCGATTGGTCTAAGATATCTCCTGTTGGGGCCTTCACTCTTTCCTCACCATAGCTTGTACCTTTCAACCAGAGCAACGGCAAACCCTACCAGCTATCTGACACTATGCCACAGTTCCCCGACATCAACAGCCTGACTCTCTCCGAAACCGAGGTGAGGTGTAATATTCAGATGGTTCTTTGGAAGGAAAGTGAGAGGGCTCATCAGGATGGTGACAAGAGGCAGGGAAGTGGATTTGTAGGCAAGGGAGAAGAATGGGGGTGCAGGACCCTCCTGGCTCTCCTTCCCTGGTCCATGTGGTTTCTCTGCATAATTACAGGTGGAGTCTGCAGGGGAGATGGACAAGAAGAAAGGACTAGAGCCACAGCAGATGCGTGCGGGTGGAAACGCCCTGTGTACCACCTTCCCGGATAAGTCCAGCAACATAAAGTCAGTTGTACCTTCTGTCACCCCTTAGGAGCCTGAGCTGCCCCTGACAGTGCCCTTCTGAAGGAGGAGGCCACCCTGCCCTCTCCTCTTTCTGTGTGTCCCTCAGCTGTGCTTAGAAGTCTCCTTTCTTTCCCTGACCTGCTCCGCTTTTGCCCTGCTCGGGGGTGTGTTTACCACCTCTCTGCAGCCAGCCTCCTCCAGCACGCCCTCCATGAGTGTGTGCCAGGAAGCAGGGCTCCCCTCCTCACCAGGACCAGGGTGTTCAGGCTTGGGCCAGATGCTGGGGCCCAGGACCCCATGCTGAGCCAGGCCTTCCTGCCTGCGTGCTGACATGGGCTTTCCGTCCCCTCTTCCGAGAGGGGCCCTCCTTCCCTTGCTCCATAAAGGTCCGCTCACCTGTCCTGGGCTGACGTGGTGGCTTCCCTGCCCCATGCTGAGAGCTGAGGGCTGAGGCACTGGGTGGCTGCCGTCACGACATCCGTTCCTCTGGCACAGTGGCAGGAGCTGGGTCCTCCTTGGGGAGAGACCTGGGTTCCCTGCGTCAAGGAACCAGAAGTGAGCCACCGTCAGTGAGCAGAGGGCTTCCTGAGGCAGGAGCGGGAGGCAGAGGGCAGAGGAGGTTGAGGAGACAGAGGACAGGCCTCTTGGGCTACTGCCTCTCCCTCCCGCCACACCTCATGCCATCCTGCCTGGTCCTTCAGAGGAGCCCTGAGTATCCCGAGATGGGAATGACGCCTCGGGCACGGCGCCAGCTCAGACGGGCACAGCTGGGCTGGGACCATCAGGAAAGGACGTGGTGATCCTGAGAGGGGGCCCCAGACCCTCAGCCCCATGCTGAGCTGGAGCCTGATGCTTCACTCCTTCTGGCGGAAGGTCTGCCCCCGTGGCTGCTCTGTTTCCCGTGCCCAGCTTAGACTGGGCTCACCCAGGTGACAGAGGCCCCACCTGCTTCCAATGGGTGCCAGCCCAACAGGTGTGTGGTTCCCATTCCTGCCTCAGTGCCCAGGGCCAGCCAGGGGCAGGTGAGGGAAAGGGCAGCCGCAGAGGAGCCCTTTTCTTCTCTCTTCCTCCCTGACCCCCACCGCCATGGGAGAGCATCTTTTCCTTCCTTCTGCTTTGCTTCCTCTTTCTCCTTGGCCTCTCCTCTCCTGTGTCTCCCCCATACCTCCCTCCCTGACCTTCACACCCTGTCTGCCATACCCCACCATCCCCTCCCTGCCTCCTGAGCCTGGCCTCGCTCACCTCCCTGCCCCAGCATCCTGGGCCATCCCTGGGGGATGACCTGGTATCAGCCAGGGCCCTGGCTAGGCCCAGCAGAAGGGTGCACACCCAGTGAGGTAGCACAGCTAATACCCCATTCCCTGCTCCCCGTGGAGCTTTCTGTGGGGAGCTGGAGGAAGGAAAGGAAGCCCTGGAGCCTGGTTCCAAATGCTGCTTCTCGTGGTGCTGGAGAAGGCAGTCAGGGCACTCCAGGCGGGGGCTGCCCAGGAGGAAGGGGGTGAGGATCTCCCTCTGGGTCACTCCACAGGGCAGCTTCCCAGGGCTGTGCATGAGCAAGGGCTCTGCAGTGTAGGAGGCACATGCTGGGCTCGGTCTCTGGCGTAGGTCGGCTTGCTTGCTCACGTTAGGTATGGCAGCTCCACAGTTCCACATACTTTTGTCTATTTTGTTTTGATCTTTGGCAGCTCCATCCTGGAATTGTTCCCCAAGTTATCATGCCTGGTAAGTGTTTTCCTTAAATGTTAACCCTTCTAATTGGCACTGACGTTACCCCTAACTGTTCTGAAGCCTTTTAGGTCTTGCCAGAGTCAGAGAGTGAGTATTGTCATGAAGGCACCTGGGGTGGAAGAAGGACAGGTGACAAGAGAGCATTTCTGAGAAGAAACTCTTGGGTGCCATCATCTTCATTCTCATCATTTTGGTTCTATTTTTGTTCTAGTGTGAGCATTGCCCTGTGATTGAATCGGGAGGTCTTGTTGGGGCTGAAAAGTCAAAGGCTGCCTCATAGGGCTGAGTCATATCCACCCAGAGGGCCAGTTTTTCTGTATATGGACATCTGCTTGGTCCATTTGCTTAAACCCCAAGGTCAGGGTGGGGGAAAGGTGATACAGACCCATGGGAGAACCTGACACATCTATGGAGCTTCTTCACACAAGTTTTCCACAGGCTTCAGGGACACAATGGTGGCGACCCTAACTGTAGTCTTTCCCATATATCATACTTTCCAGGACCCTTTCACACCTGATCTCTGATCCTCACCCTCTCCTGGGCCCATCATTTTCCTTGATCATCCAGGGCCACCTCCCTGCTCTGCATTGCTGACTTCTTCCTTTTCCCAGGATGGCCAGGAGTCACCCAGACCAACTCTTGGTGGTACTGAAGCCCACAAGAAGTTACCAACCTGCAAGGTGAGGAGGTGAGGATCAAGCAGGGTGTTTGATGGTGCATGAGGAGGGGGTGTCAGCTGTGGTCCTGGAATTTGTTATTCCAGGGAAGCGTCTTTGGATCTGAAACACTGAAGAATCTGGTCCTGCAATTCCTGCAGCAGTAAGTATCCTGGGAATCTGAGGAAGGAGAGGGCTGGGATAGGTGAGGCCACATAAGCACTACTCAGGGTGACTTTCAAGTTTCATTTGGGGCCCAAACCACAGAGATAGCCTGTTCCCTTTGGTCCCCAACAGGTATTACTTGATCTACGACTACGGAGACCGACGGGATCTCCTTGGTGCTTATCATGTCATGGCCCGCTTCTCCCTGACCATTCTCTTCAACCCCGAGGACCCAGCTTCGTGAGTATCACGGCTCAGACTCTGCTCCGGGGCCACGTGGCTCCCCAGCAGACACAGGTTGGCTCCTGGAAAGCCTGTACTGGCTGGACCACCACTTGCTGTTCCTCTTGCTCTCCTAGGAGCATCTTGTGCAAGTACTTCAAGGAAAGCAGGAATCTGAAAATGCTCAAGGACCCCTGTGAGTGTGCGATGGGGAAGACTGGGCAGGGTAAGGGGAGGTGAAGGGGACATTCACAGGGGCCTAGGGCCAGGGTGTGGCAGCCCCCGATCTTTGCTTCTCCTCCCCTCACAGACCTGCGGGTACGGCTGCTGAAGCACACAAAACGTGACATCGTGGACTCCCTCAGCGTGTTGCCCAAAACACAGCATGACCTCAGCTCCTTCCTGGTGGACGTGTGGTTCCAGACGGTGAGTGCCTGCTTCCTCCCTCGGACAGGCCCAGAAAACCAGAGGTGGGTGGTAGGTTAAGGAGGATCCTGAGCGCCTGGGCTCTTCCCTTTCAGGAAATGATGCTCGGCCTTTCTGTCAGTGGGGTGTTCAAGGAAGGTGAGTGTCTGTAGAGTCCCCTCCCAGGTCCCGCACTGCTGCCTGCTCTGGCCTGGCTTCTTCTCAGAACTCTCCCAGCTTCCCTGATTTCATTCCTTTCAGTCCTATTCTTCCCCCTGTGTTCTCCAGCCCCCACTCTGCCCACAAACCATCCTGGTGTGACCTAGGTCCATGCATGTCTGCCCCGCATGGCTTGGACGTTAAGGACACAGGCTGTGGAGCTTGATGGCTCTCATCCCGGGTCCTTACTCTGCAAACTTAAGGTGGTCACTTAACCCTTCAATTCCCTCATTTGCAAAGTGTGGCTAGTAATACCCATCTCTTGGGCTACTGTGACACAGAAATCAAGTGAACTTGGGAAGTGGTTTTCACAGGGCCCTGCACATCATAGGGGCCCTATCACTGGGAGTGGATTCTTCCTATTGTTGCCCTCCCCATTCCTGCCACACCCTCCTGACTCCAAGTGAGCAGTTTTGTTCTGGTCCGGACCCCTTCAGCGTGAGTATCAAGTAAGACGCTGCCCGGGGAATACCTTGTGAGCATGTAAAGTATGTGCAGTGCTAAGCGGGTATTGTTGTTTGTTGTCGTTGAAGTGGAGGGAAAGTCTCACGGATGTGTACGTGCCTTCACTCGGATCTTCATCACTGTCCCTACTGGCAATTCCGGGTAAGTGCTGTGTTGTGGGTGCAACATGGGAACACCAAGCCTGGGACCAGCTGTGTGGGAATTTTGCAGTGTAGTCCTGGGGGTATTCACAATATTGTCAGAAACCAACAGTCTAGTGGTTAAGAGTGTGTGCTCTAGAGTCAGAGTACAGGTTCTTTCCTGAGACAACACTCTGTGACTTTGGTGAAGTCATATGACCATGACCTCTTTGTGGCTTCCTCTGAAAATGGTGATTCCGCTGTCCATTCCTTTGGGCTGTTGTAAAGGGCAAATGTGAGTGTAAAACCTTCCCTGGGTTACAGGTAAACCTACAAAGATTTTGAAGCTGTAGACAATCTCTACAGGTGTGGGAGGAGTAGAGGGTACCAGCCAAGGAAGCTGGGAGGTGGGACATGGGGGTATAGAAGAAATCTGGTTGCTGAGCAGTAGAAGAAGGATCACTGTTGGGGTTGTGGGGTTGTCCGTCTGTCCAGCTATCTGAGGGCCTATCTTTCCTCCAGTCTGTGCATCATAAATGACAAGCTGTTTGTTCGGGACGCCGGCCCCCAAGGGACCTGGAACACCTTGCCCATCCCAATGGTCACACCCTACTCCAGTTCTATGCCTGCCCTCTCCCAGGAGCAGCAGAAAATGGTTCAGGCTTTCTCTGCCCAGTTTGGGATGAACCTCGAGTGGTCTCAGAAGTGAGTGCTGGGTGTCCATGGTGATCAGTATGAGCTAGGAGGAACAGGGAAGTAAATAATGGGAACTTGAAGGTATTAATAATGGGTTTCACTTTTTTATATCACTCATCACCCTGAACATTTCCTTCTTCATACACATTAAGCTATCAAGTTTTGAACAGGATTAGGGTACTTTTCTGAATTCCATGTACCGTGTTCCATTATTGGGAGACATTTGGCTTTTCAGGAAATTTTCCCTATGACACACTGTGTCACAGAGTTCATTCTGCTGCAATATATCTCAATTAACCATGGGGACATGTTTCTGTCACACGGATTTGGAAATGGCAGTATGTCCTCAGAGTGTCTCCAGTTGGGTCTTAATGGATGTCACCTGTCATTATTTCACTCCAGGTGTCTTCGTGACAACCAGTGGGACTACATCAGAGCTACTCAGGTCCTCTTTCTGCCCAAGATGACATCTGGGAATTCAGGCCAGGTGAGCAGAGTCCAGTGGCCTGGGGCTGAAACATAGGGCTCCTGGCTCTGCTGATCTCCCAGTGGGTCCCTCCTGTGCTTCCTGTAGGCCAAGGGCAAGATCCCAGAGGAGGCCCAACCTGGGACCAGCACATACTGACTCAAGATCCTGAAAACAAAGCCCTGAGAAGAAACCCTTGGGTTTCATCATCTTCGTTCTCATCATTTTGGTTCTGTTTTTGTTCTAGTGCGAGCATTTTACTGTGACTAAATCAGGAGGTCTTGTTGGGGCTGAAAAGTGAAAGCCTGATTCATAGGGCTGACTCTCATCCACCCAGAGGGCCAGTTTTTCTGTGCATTTGTCCCCGCCAGAATCCCTTTTTCTTTTAATAATAAAGTGATGCTGTCTGTTACATCAAATCCCTGCAGTATCCACTTGAGTCAGGCATAATGATCTCTGCTTCACAGAAAAAGAAAGGGACACAGAGAGTAAACAACACCTGGGAAAAACCATGGAGTAGAGACTCGAATCCTGGACCCACCCTTAGGCAGTAGCTGTGCTCCAGAGGGCCCTGTGGCTTCCAAAGCGGGGAGTGCTCTCCAACCTGAGAAGCCTGGAGGCTGATAGTCTATGTCCTTAGTGCATTAGTTGAATATTTTCATGTAGAAAACATTATTAATTTCTTAGCCATACAAATCTATTAAAATTTAAAAACAACCTATTTGGGGAAAAACAGCATTAAAGAGCGCATGAAAAGCTAGGAAGAAAAAATTGCCCACATATATGACTGATATAGTATAAAGAAATCAGTAGAGAGAAGGGAAACTGCTATCAACCTCATTGTTATTAAAAGCAATAGTTAATGATCCCAAAAATCTATGAAAAGCTATCTAACCATACTAACAAACATAACTGCAAACATTGAGATAAGATGTTAATTTAGAAAAGAAAGCTAACAATTGTTATTTTCAGAAAAATACATTGTGTGTATGTGTTTCTATATTGATGTATTAGTTTCCTAGAGCTGCCATAATAAAGTACTATAAACTGAGTGGTATAAAACTGCAAATTTATTTTCTCATAGTTCCGGAGATCATAAATCCAAATCAAGGTGCTAGCAGGGCCACGCTCTTTCCAAAGGCTCTAGGGGAGAATCCTTCCTTGTCTCTTTGTCTCTTTCAGCTTATGGTTGCTGCTGGTCTTTTTTAGCTTGTGACAATGTAACTGGTATCTCTGCTTCTGTCTTCACACAGTCTTCTTTTCTTTCTTTCTTTTGTTTTTTTAAGAGACCACGTCTCTCTCTATTGCCCAGGCTGGAGTATAGTGGTGTGATCATAGCTCAATGCTGGAACCTTGAACTCCTGGGCTCAAGTGATCCCTGCCTCACTCAGCCTCCCAAGTAGCTGGGACTATGCCTCAATTCCCGGCTATGTTTTCTTTTTTCTTTTTTTTTTTTTTTTTTTTTGTAGAGATGGGGTCTCACTATGTTTCCCAGGCTGGCCTCAAGTGATCCTAGTGCCTTGGCCTCCCAAAGTGTTGGGATTACAGGCATGAACCACCACTCCTAGCCCTGGTCTTTTCTGTGTCTAATTTTCTCTCCCTTTAAAAGGTTTTAGAGTCCACCCTAATACAGGATTACTTCCTCTTGAGGTCCTTACATTAATATCTACAAAGACCATCATTCGGAATGAGGTCACATCCTGAGGTTCCAGGCAGACATATCTTTTGGAGGCTACTCTTCAACCCCCTACATTGTGCCCTCTTGCCCTTCAAAATTCCCATCCATTTATGTGAAAAAATATTTCACCCCATCCCACCATCTCCAAAAGTTAATGTATTCCAGCATCCCATCTAAATATCATCAAAAGTCCCAGATCTCATAATCTAAATCAAGTATAGGTGAGATGGTGACTATGATCCATGTGGGGTCAAAATTCCTCTCCAAAAAAAAAACCTCACAATGGCACACAATGAAAATTGATATACATAATAATAACTATAAGTCACTGAAAGATCCTCAATGACTCTGAATCACTAAAAACTTGATTGTGCTCAGCATAATTTTAGGGATAGATGTATTTATTTTTGAATAAAGAGACTTAAAAGAAAAAAAAATTCCTCTCCATCTGTGGACCTGTAAAACCGGAAAACATGCTATCTGCTTCTACACTTCATTGGTGGAACAGGCATAGAATGCACATTCTCATTCTGAAAGGGAAAAGGTGAAAGCATTAAAAGGGTCACTGGTCCCAAGCAAGTTTGAAACCCAGCAGGGTTTCAAGGCCTGAGAATTATCCTCTGTGGCTTGATGCTTTTTTCTCTGGGCCCATAGAAGTGACACTGCCCTCTCCAGCCTCTTCCTCTGTATCCATGGCTCTATAACTGAGTTCAATCTCATACTCTTGCTGCAGGAGAGTCAATAATAAGTCAAGAGGCAAGGTATTGAGGCAAGGAAAGCGACTTTTATTTGGAGAGCCTGCAAGCTGAGAGGATGGCAGATTAATGTCCCGAAGAACAATCTTAAGTTAGTATGAACTTTAGGTTCCTTTTATATTAAGGGAAGGGAAGGGGGGGGTGGGTTGCAACACAATTGAGATAACTCGCTACCTTCAGCCCAGGCTCTGTCACCACTTTTACTGCCTGTTGAATCCCAGAAGTCTTACAGTCTATTTGTTTTGTCTGTCTTCTGTTGCCTTCAGGCCAAGCTAGGTGTTCTTGGTGGTATAACTTTCTTCTCAAAGAAAGTTTCCGTGGGTCTCCTGTGTGTGTCAAGGAGATTCATGCCATCAGATGAGGGTTTTCCACAGATTCTTTCTGGATAACCCCATCATCTTTATTCCTGGATTCCACTGAAAGGGTCGATTGGATTTATTAATTATACATCTAATGTCTTCAGCAAAAGGTATCCAGCCACACCCTTGGCTCTTTCCCCAGAACACACTTAATGTCTTTCATGTGCTTATTGATATTTGCATATCTTCTTTGGAGAAATATCTATAAAAGTCCTTTGTCCATTTTTTGAATTGGGTTGGGTTTTTTGTTGTTGAGTTATAGGCGTCCTTTATTTTCTGGAGATTAATCTCTTATCAGCTATATGATTTGTAAATGCTTTCCCTTTTTATTCTATTGATAGTGTCCTCTGATGCACAAAATTTTTAAATTTTGATATAGTACAATTTACTATTTTGTTGCCTATGCTTTCGCTATCATATCCAAGAAATCATGGGGAAATCCAATGTCATGAAGCTTGTCCCTTACGATTCTTCTAAGAGTTTTGTATGTTTAGCTCTTATATTTAGGCATTTCATCTATTTTGAGTTAATTTTTGTATATGGTACAATGTATAACTTCATTCATTTCTGTGTGGATATACAGTTTTCCCAAAAGCATTTGTTGAAAAGACTACTTTCCCCACTGAATAGTCTTGGCACCCTATTGAAAGCATTTGATCATTTATGCCAGGGTTTGTTTCTGGACTGCCAATTCTATTTGTCTATATATCTGTCTTTCTGCCAGTACCACTGTTTTGATTACCGTAGCTTTGTCTTAAGTTTGGAAATCAGGAAGTGGTAGACTAACTTTGTTCTTTTTTAAGATTGTTTTGATTAATTGGTTCCTTTAAGATTCCATATGAATTTTAGGATGGATTTTTCTATTTATGTAAGAACATCATTGGGGTTTTGATAGAGATTGCATTGAATCTGTAGATCACTTTGGGTAGTATTGATGTTTTAACAATATGAAGTCTTCTAATCCATGAACACAGGATATCTTTGCCTTTATTTATGTCTTAAATTTCTTTTTTTTTTTTTTTCTTTTTGAGACAGAGTCTCACTCTGTTGCCCTGGCTAGAGTGAGTGCCATGGCGTCAGCCTAGCTCACAG